GGAGCCGAGCTGTCCCGTATCGCTCACACTATCCACCCTTTATATAAACAGCCTGGCGTCCTCCGGGCCCTGCGAAGTCCTGATGTGGTTGCAAAGGGCTCCAGGAGCCAAACGCCTCTCACTCTAAGAAGGACCCTGGCAATGGGCCTTGCTTTTCTTCCAGCCTGAGTCAGGCCCTGGCTGGAGTGACAGGAGAATCCACTTCCTGCCTGAAAAGGTGGCCCAGCAGAGCTCCCTGCTGGGAGGAGCCTTCCTTCCTCCCTCCCACGCATCCAGGCTTCATCCCCAGGAAGGCCTCTTGGTGAGACAGCCCCCGCTGCCACTGCCTTTCTTACCATGTTTCATATGTTGAACCCAAGCCTGCAGATTGCACACAAACCGGGTTACAGAACCACTTTGCAGCCTGCCAAGCCCCTGGTGGGGTGACTTTTGGGTTGTGTCTCGAACATGAACATAGTCCCAGATGTTTATCCCACTGGCCCCCTCCCCTATGCCTTACTCTGCACGGGTCAGGATGCTGAGCACTGCAGCTTTGCCAGCCCCCACACTGAGTAAGCTCAGCTGGACTGGTTTTTTTGGTTTGCTCTGGAGCCAGGGGGTGTGCTTTCTTTGAAAGGTGACCTGTGAGCAGAGAAAGCGTCACTAGCCCCTAGTTAGCAGTGCTTCCTTTTGCTGTGGCCACTGGGCCTTGGGTGTGATGGGGAGGGCAGATGCCCAGGCTCTGCTGGCTGGGCTGGGAGTTGGGATTAGGTGACAGGTGCAATTGGGCTCGGCACCTGAGGGCCAGAGATGGAGGGGAACAGGCCAGCTGGGCACTCAGGGGTCTGGAAAGAACCCCAGACAGTATTCTCAGAGATGGGCTTATCTTGGCCTCAGGAGGACCCAGACTAAGCCAGAGGTAGAAAATCTGTTACAGAAGATGCAGGAGAGAGGTCAGCTATAAAACATCCTTCCTCCAAGAAACCTTTTGAGAGAAAACAAATCTGTGAAGCTATCAGAGGACCCCTGGCTTCCAAGAGGTACAGGAAGCCATTGGGGAAATCACACTGCTCTTTGGCAGGGAACACAACTGTCATTGCTGTGACAGAGCTGGCTTCACCTCCTTCAGGAAGCCTTCCCTGACTTCCTCCTTTAGCTCCCACAGGACTCTGTTCACCCATAATTCCCCCTCATCCCAGAATTGATCCGTCTGTCTCCAGTACCAGAGCCAAATTTCATGGACTACTGAATGGGGACCAGAAAACTGCATTTTTAACACACATACCCCACCCCAATATGGGCAGACCGCAAAACGCACTTTCAGAAACATCTTGCCCAATAGAAATATAACATGAACCACTATTTAATTTAAAATTTTCTAATAGCCACTTAAAAAAGTAAGAGAAAACAGTTGAGATGATTTTTTTTAAAGATTTATTTATTTTATACAAAAACTGGGGAACAGGCCAGATATGGGGGAGGGTGAGAGGATTCACCAGAGACAGAGTGGGGAACAGAACAGGCAGACTGACGAAATACATTGCTGAGGGGAGCAGTGGGCATGACAGGAGAGGTCTGCTGTGCCATGTGGGACCCTCACTGCCTGGCCAGGATCGAATTGGCGCTGCAGAGGCGGCAGACAGCTTCACAGCGCAGCGCTCAACCGCCTGCGCCACCAGGGGATACTTGAGATGATTTTTTTTTAAAGTATTTCTTCAACCTGATGTATTTCCAAATGTTATTTCAACATGCAATCTATACTTTGTGTCATGTGTGCTAAGTCTTTGCAACCTGGTGCATAGTTTATTCTTTTTTTTTTTTTTTAAGATTTATTTATTTATTTATACAAGCACTGGGTACAGTCAGAAGCACAGGAGGGTGAGAGAATTCACCAGAGCCAGAGCGGGGAGCAGAGCAGGCAGAAGGACCGAAGTACACTGCTGAGGGGAGCAGCGGGCGGCAGGAGAGGTCTGCGCGCCATGTGGGACCCTCGCCGGCGGCCGGGGATCGAACCGGTGGTGTAGAGGCTGCGGGTAGCTTTGCAACTCAGTGTTCAACCACTGCGCCACCGGGGAGACCCTGCATATTTTATTCTTATAGCACATCTCAGTTTGGACTGGCCACATTTCAGACACTCCGTTGTCATGCGTGGCATGTGACTGCCATCTAGGACAGCACAGCTGTAGGGCTTTGCTCTGAGAGTGGCCCATGGACTAGCAGTGGAACATCACCCGTGAGCTTGACAGAAAAACAGGATCTCAACCCCTGCCCAATCTCTGAATCAGAACCTGTATTTTATTAATTTATTTCTTAATCAAATTTTATTTGTACAGTATTACTTTACAGATCTTTTGGTGTACAGCTTCACACCTTGACATATGCACATGCTTTACCCAGCTATTTTAACATGTCACCAGGTACATTGCATGCATGCTGAAGGCAGGATCTACATCCTTAGCTCCTTGGTATAACTCATGTCCTGCACTCAACAGAGGACCTGGCATCTAGATGGCACACCGTCAATGTTTTTGGAGGAAAGGGATAAAGGCATGAGCCTGCCTGCCCCTTTCCACAAGGCCCTACCCTCCCTATTCCCTGTTATTGTGTATCTGAGAATCTCAGACCTGAAAAAGAATTGGCAGTCAGAAAACAAATGAGGTCAGAGCTGATAGGAAACTTAAAGTTCCTGTAGTCTAACTCCTTTGAGCCCCAGAGAGATGCAGAATCCTGGGTGTGTCCCACAGCTTGCTGGGCACAGCTGGCCACCTTATTTCAGGAGGAAAGTGGCTCAGAGGAGAGCAGTTCACCCTATAACAGGGCATGTTGCTGAGCCATCTTTCTTCTAGTCATCTCTGTTCTCTTCCTCAGAAATTCTGTGGAGCCCAGGCTTAGAGAGACCCCAGGCCTGGACTACACATATTAATTATCTGTCTATTGTTCTCAATCTTCTTGGCACCTATAAATATGCACAAATTTCAACAAGATGAAACAAAATTCTATTCAAGAAGTGTCATCTTTCATATAATGCTTGAACAGGAATGTTCCATACTGTTACATACAGAAGTGAGAAATCAGACACTACCTAAACATCCAGCAAAGTGGTGGTGGGGGGGAAGGGCTTGGTAAAGAAACTGCAACTCATCCAAACATTGGAACTCTGTCACAATTAGCCAAGCTGGTATGGAAATGCTGACTGACGTGGGGAAGTGCTCATTATATAGTGGAAGAGCATCTATGAGCTTATTGTATTCACATGCATGGAAGGATGTCTGGAAAAGATTTGTATTCCCACATAGTAATGTCACTTCTTCAGGAGGAGGGATCATGAGTGATTCTTATTATTTTTTTGACCACCCACTGCTGCTGATTCTTCTAGTTGTTTCCCCTCTCAGTGAATAGGACTCACTTATGCCATATAGAAATAAAATTTACACAGTGGAATGTGGGTGAGGAAATTGGACATGGGATTTATTTGAAATTTATTGACTTTTTTTTTAGAAATTCCTAAGTTTCTAGTGTTGTGGCTTGGTGACTGTATTTTCATGCCGCAGGCAATTAGTCCATGTTTGAGAAAAGGGTTAACTATACCAGGGCCTGAAAACTCATGAGCCAACTTTTGTTAAATTTCAGTCTGTATTCAGGGAAGTGAAAGTTGATAATATGCAGTCTCTGTCTTGTTTTGAGTGGAATTTGACAGTGACCCACCCTTCACGTGTGGACTCTAAATAGTCTGTTTATGATTGTGGAAGAGAGAATTCTAACATCATGTGTGAGAGCTAAATGGGCAAGTAGATGGATAGAATATGCACACACAAAGTCAAGCGTGGCACCACCTTTCACCACCTCCAGTGCTAACATTGTGGGTGGAGCCACTATCCATAGGCTCCAAACTGGTCTCTGCCCCTACCCTGGGATCCACTCAGTACCCTGTAGGTCGAGCACCCTCTTCTGCTCTGACCTTTCCTGCCTCTCGGATCTCATGCCTGCACCTCGGCACCTTGCTCAGTCCTCTCCTCCCTGACAAGATGCATATTTACGTGTTTACTGTTCATCTCCTGGGATGTAAACTCCCTGAGAGCAGGAACTCTACCTCCTTTCTTTGCTCTCATTTTCTTAGAGCTCAGTGCCCTCAGTAGGTGCTCCATAGACACTTGAAGTCAGGCGAGGACTTCAGAGAGTATGAGACTGGTCTTCCTCATTTTACCATTGAGGTGCCTGAGGCCCAAGCAGAGCATTTCCGGGCCTTGCCCAAGGCCGCACAGCTGGGGCAGCAGGCCTCGGTCAGCTCTCTCCACCCCGCCTTGGAAGGGGGAATAACGACATGCACAGGGGCTGTGGCCTTGTCCATCCTCTCTGCCGTGTGTTTTTCCAGCTTATACAGAAGTTCAGCCCAGAATAGCAGAAGAAAAAATTGTTGTTCCTCCAGAACCCTGGAGGCTCCACCAGAACCTGGAGGCTCTTCCAATGGGTCTGTTCCTGGGGAAAAAGCAGCCATCTCAGGGTGGGAAGGTAGGATACCGCCATTGCAGTGGGAGCAACAGGCTAGATTTGGTTTTGCAATTAAAATAACATCTAGGTCTGTCTCTGAGGAGCAGTTCTGGAAGGTGGGTGGTCTGTCTGAAGTGTCAGGTGGGGTCTTCCTCTGGCCTGGCTCAGGAGGGTTTGGGATGTCAGGTGGCTGAAAGGGCTCACCCAGCAGAAACAGATGAAAGAAATTGGACCCAAAAGAGACTTTGGAAACCCCACCTGCAGCCAGGCTCAGGGGCGTCTGCAGATGCCTCTCCCCAGGCCCCACCGCTTCAGGAGATTGCTCAGACACCCCTTTGATGCAGAGAGAGCTCTGGCCTCCTCCCTCTCATGCCCCATGTGGTTTGTCAATCATCTGTGAAACGGGGGGTCTGAGGGTGCACTCACCCGTGTGAAGACAGCTGGGCCGGGAGCTGTGGGGTGGGGTAGGGTGGGGAATGGATGCTGAGGGCCGTTCAGTCTTCTGAATCCTTTCCCTCTGTCTGGCTCCTCAGATGCAGCTTTTGGATAAGTTTCCCATTGAAGGTGGCCAAAAGGACCCCAAGCAGAGAATCATCCCCTTCCTCCCAGGTAAGCTTTGGTTGGCCCTGCTGGTGGGGGGGGGGCAGTCTGGGGAGAGGCCTTCCTCAGGCCAAGAAAGGGCTGGCTATGAAGCCAGAAATTCTGGGGGGAGGGAGGGCTAGGAATCTGTGTATTGTTGCCTCCCTAGGGGATCAGAAGCCCCTGATTTTGAAGGCCACTGCCCTCCTGGGGGCTTCTCCCACTTTCCCGGGGCCTCCTCTGCTAGCTGGGGACCATGTAACTTATGAGGAGTTTCTCAGGTCCTAGGACTTTGGGTTCCTTTTTATAAAAAAGCACAGAGAGATCAAGTTCTCCTCTGAAAGAGGCTGAAGTGCCCCCACTGACTTCCATCGTAATACTAGAAAACCTGCAGTGGAGCCACATCCCCTCAAGTCCTCCCTGCATCGTTATCCCCCTGAGGTCCCTGGAGCTTACAGAACACGACCTGTGAGTTGGCAGAGTCAGAATTTGAACCTGGGTCTGTCTGGCCATTGAGGTCATTGAGCACCGCACCATGTAGAACACGTTTAAGATGGCTGGTTATGTCTGTTGTGTAATTTAGAGGAAAAATGCTCAGGTGTGTCATTCCCAGCTATTACTGTGATGTCCAAGTTGGAGTAAGAATTTATGGCTTATAAGATGCCTTTTAATTTCTTATCATGCACAGATCTCCTTACTGAGGTGTGCATTATATCTTCCACTTTGGGGATGAAGATGTTGAAGTTCGGAGTAACTGCAGGCTAAAGTAACTGCAGGCTCCTGAGGACTGAGGTCATGCCCCTGGAGACGGGCTCTGGGCAGGGCGCCTACAGCATCCACTATATGATGCAACACCAGCGTGCGTTCCTTTGCTACCCCCTGCCTTTGGGGAGGGTGACACACTGTTACCTGCTAATTGCCCAGGCTCAGTGCTAGCAGCGGCAAATCAACAGAACCTTAGAGAATTCAAACACGCCAGGTAATCAGGGTGCCTTTGCTCTTGCAACCCCAGGAGGGTTATCCAGCCAGCTTCAGAAGTTCTGCCAGCCCTTTGCTTTGCCTGGAATTTCAGAGCAAGGAAAATCCAAAGGGAGGGAGCAGAAACACCCACCCCCTAACTCTCCTTCTCAAGGTGGGGGTTTCAGTCTTAGCCCCAGAGATGGCAGGACATGGCATGCATGTCTGTTACCTGGTGTGAGGTCTGGGAGTCATGTTGGGATTGCCAAACCAGCTGTTTTGCTTGGGCCCTCCTGGCCTCAGGCTCACGGCTGGGGCCTCACAGAGAAAGCAGAGGCATTGGGAGAGGGAGGGGACCCATGCTCCCTGGTCACATGCCTACTCATTCTGCCAGTTGAATATGGGCAGCAAATCCTGCATATGACTGTATATCTCAAGGTCTAGGACAAACTTGTGCAATGTCTGGTGAGTGTGTGGCCTGAGTTCTGGGTTAGCTTGTGGGGATAAAGAGTAGTGAGGCCCCAGGGCTCCTGTGGTTGAAAGCAGAAGTTCCATCCCAGGAGATGCCCACTGGTTCTTGGGGGGCAGGTAGAATGTTCTGCAGTACAGCTGGAGGGGCTGGGTAGGCTCTGGGCAGGGCCCTCAAGGTGCTGGAGGGGAGCCAGTATCATCACCAGTGCGGAGTCTTACATTTGCTTAGCACTCAGGTCCTGCATAAACTGCGCTTAATGAGGTCCTACCAGTTGTTTTCACCAGGGCTGGAGGTCCACTCTGCAGACCCACCCATGCTTTTGTGAAGGCTGAAAGACCCATGGGAGGAGGGAGGAGAAGTTAGGGACCCCAGGTGTGACAAGTCGTTCTCCATAAAGCAACCCAAGTGGTTTTCTTGACCAAGAAGGGGCAGAAAGTTTTATCAAAGTCCTGATGCCCTGGGGAGGTAGAGATGGGGTGTGGGGAGAAGGGAAAGGACCCCCTCCTTGTGGGCCTGGGCCTCCAAACCTCACATGGTGAAAGGCAGGGAGACATGTTTCATGGCCTTCCTTTGAGATGAGGCCATTGTCTACTCTCACATTTCTGTGGTGGGGCTGAATGTATGGTAGGTGCTTTGTTAAGGTGCTTTGTTGAGTGACTGTGAATTGGGCATTCTCCCTTACAAACAATACCTTTTATAGTGAGTGCCCCTACTGTGTACTTAGCCTTGTCCTCGGACTCTCTCAAAAATCTCTCGAGATCTCTGAAGGGTAGGTGGCATTATCCCCATTAGAGAGAAGTCATGTCACATTACTCCACCCCTGAGCCCTGGTGGTGAGCCGGGGCCCTGCTGCTGTGCCCTGTGCATGACTTTGCGCCAGGAGGACTGGCATGGCCAGCCTCAGCCAGACCGTCCCTGCCCTTCTCACTTGCTGCCTCACTTCCCAGGCGAGGCTCCTAGGAGGTTCTGCCTGAGAACCCTTCACCCTGGAAGTCCTTCCGTCTTTGCCTTCTGTGTGTTGGGAGTGCACCGAGTGGGGGAAAGGGAGGGGACAAAATTCCTGGGGACTCAGGTGACTCCTAAGGGCTCTCATGCTCTCTCTCCATTGAGTGACTAAGGTCACCAGAGCTGAGTAATTGATTTTTTTTGGTGGGGGGGTAATTTATTACCACATTATTTTAATGTGATTACAAGCAGGTAACCCCAAAGCTCTCAGAGCATGGCTTCATTTAATTATGAGTCTAACGAGATTGGCTATTTGGTTTTCTAAGTGGCAGCACTTTTTTTTAACTTTTTATTTTTAAATAAAAATTCTTAAGATGTCACAAAAACACTAAACACGCTAAAGTCTTTCCCTCCAGTACCACTGTCATACTGCAAGGGGCAGGCATTATTCCCAATGTAAGGAGAGATCACGTCACTGTCCACCAGCACCCAGCCACGAAGTGATGCACCCTGGCCCAGTGTCCCCAGCGGTAATATGGTATGTCACCCCAGGACATTACCAACCGCAGAAATCGATATCAGTACAACTCAGCTAAGCAGACCACACACCCAAAGAGTTGATTTTTATCGTAAAGAGGTGGAGCATGCAGTTGAACAAGTGTGTCAACTGGCCTCTAGAAAAGAGACAGGGCCTGCAATTGTCCCTGAGAAACTCCACACAGGCCTGACCTTTTGGCATCCCCACCTCCAACAGAAAAGCAGGATCGAACCTCATCTGACACGAAAGCATCTTCTTGAAAAACTCCGTGCACACTCTGCTCTTTGGGACAAATCACCATCCGGGTGTCCTAAGTAGTATTACACTTCAAAGGGGCTTGTGATAAGTCCTTTTGCAATGCAGAGTGCTTTTTTTAAAAGTAATTCTTCTTCCTGTTGTTTACATATGTCTCTATCATTTGGATTACTTCCGAATTTGCTGGAAACATTGCAGACCTAGGATGCAGAGGCTGAGCAACAGCCTTGACTCCAGCAGGAGCAGAGCTACCCTGTTCAAGAAAGAGGAAGAATTTAAGATTTCATTCCATGTACAAGGCAGTTGAACTTGCCCTGGCTGTTTTGTGAATGATAGTAGAAAACATGAGACTCCCAGGGCAGAGGCAAAGGTGGTATCACAGCAGAAGGCAGCAGCATGTCTGCGTAACTTCCCATTGCCTCTGAGTACCACAGCAGACCCGTGGGCCAGGTGCATGCCTGCACGTGCAGGGGCTCAGGGTAGCAGAGGAACCCAGATTCTAGGGAACCCAGATCTCTTATAACAAGCAGTAACCAAACCTATCTCTTTTGCCCTGGAGAGAGACTCTATCCCAATCTCCCAAGGCCATAGGCAAACCTACTGTCTGCTGCAGAGCAAGATGCTGCTTCTGCCTTCTACAGCTGTTTGCTGTACAAACACCTTTGAAAAGATAATCCAGAACAAAAAGCAGTTAACCTTGTTGACAAGACATGCAGAAATGCCAGAAACAAAGGCAAATTATCTCACAACAGGTTTTCTTTCTGGGGTCACTTGCTTTGGGAAGGGTGGGTATAAGTGAAATCTCTAGGACACTGTGTCTCACGAGTGTGGTGTGGTCAGCAGCCTCTCAGGGCAGCCTACTGTTTACATGGAACTTTCTGCCTTGTTTTAAAAGACTATTGTGGAAAATCCATCTCCTGTTGCCCATCCTGGGATTGGAGTCGATTTCCTGTGTATCCTTAGTTTGCCAGCCCTAGGAGGCTCCCTGGGAGGAAATGGTCATTGCAGAGCAAAGTAGAGTGTGTAGCTGCTGATGTAAAAAGCAAACAGCTGCGACCAGAGACCGAGGGACTTCCAAAGCCAGGCGGCAGAGCAGATAGAGAACTCACTCTTCAAAGATGTGAGGTTCCTCCCACTCACAAGCCATCTGTGTCTCTGTGCTGGCTGGCACTGGGGCTTTGAGCTTCCAGAAAGTCCCTTTATCCTACCGATGAGTCAGTCCTACCTATAGCTATACATGTTCCTGAGTTGATGAGTCATGGAGAAGCCAGATAGCTTATGAAGAAGTGTGAGCCTAAAAGCATAATTAAAGTCAGCATTAACCAACCTACAGGCAACCTCGTGACCTTACTAGCTTAGAGGGGTGTATTTTTAGACTGCAGCCATGCATGCTTGGTTCTTTTTGCACCCACTTACCAGTTTACGTTCTGGCCCCTTAATGAAGAGGTAGTTTGGAGCCACCAGTGCTAGGTGAATTACAAGTGTGGTCTCCAGGACCTTCCTCTCCCTGCCCCCCAGTGCCCTATGCATCAGATCCGGTGTTTGTTCTAGCACAAAAGGAAGCAGGGGGAAGGGATGTCTCTACCTAGGGCTGGTCCAGGCGCTGGGGAGCGCTGGTTCTGCCCCTAGGCGGTAGTCTTTTTGACCTCCCCAAGGGCCTTGGAAACACTGAGGGAGACAGAGGCTCAGAGACTCTGGCGGGGACAGCAGCCCCCAAGGGAGAGGGCCTGGGAGGTTTCTGAGCCCCACTCATGACCTGGGATGGCAGGAAAAGACAAACCTTCTAAGTGATAAAGAAGGAAAAGTAGGGTCTGCTGGTAATGCCAGGGTTTAAAAGGATCAACAAGATTATAGCCTGAGAAG